TAAGCCCTCGACCCTAAACCCTGAACCCTGGAACCAAAACCCTCAGAGCGAAACCCCCAACCCCCAACACTTACCTTTGGATCCTCATAGTAGTCGCTATGAAATTTATTATAATATTTTCCCTTTTCTTTTCCATTCCTTCATTCCCAGCTAACCCTAAACCCTGTAAAATCATGTTGTTAGTAGTTTCCATGTCATGTTCCAGGTTCTTTTCCATCTGATTCTCCAAGGAAACCCCGAGTCCTCCAGGCCTTAGAGCCAGAAAACCTCCATATAAAACTTTAGGGTTTAGGGTTTAGGGTTTGGGGTTTAGGGTTTAGGGGGTTAGGGGTTTAGGGTTTAGGGCCTTTAGGGTTTAGTATAAACCCCAAACCCTAAACCAAAAAAATCCTCACCCAGGAGCAGCTCATTGCTCTTCTCCGCTCCCACACCCGCCGCCATGCCTACACTGTGGTTCCCAAAATGAGGATTTATAGGGGCTATATGGGAATTATGTAGGGATTATATAGGGATTTGTAGGGTTTAGGTTTAGGGTTCCCAAAATTAGGGGTAATATTTTGGGGGTCCCCATAATAAGGATGATACTATTTTAGGGTCTATATTGGGGTCACCTTATTTTGGGAAACTACCATTTTGGGGGTAACTTTGAAGGGGTTGATTATAGGGCTTGTCTAGGGTCACTTGGGGGGTTTGGGTATCTTTTAAGGGGTTTATAGGGCTTGTCTAGGGTCGTATAGGGGGGTTGGGGTAAGGGGTTTATAGGGCTTGTCTAGAGTCACATAGGGGGATATAGAGGTACAAAGGCTGACGGATATGTAGGGCTGAGGGTGTTCTCAAGAAGAAATTGGGACCCTCTTTTGGGAGTCCCCGTGAGCAGCCTATTTATGGAAAGTCCCATTACTCAAAACAAACGTACCCAGGTCCCACTCGCAGGTCATGTAAGGGGTACACTGGGTTTAGGCAACTTCCTTCTGGGAAATAGGTCCCAGAGATCCACGCCAGATACATGGGCATTCGAATTTAAGCTTGCATTACAGACATTAGGATTCCTAGTTCCCACATCTAGCTTCGATAGCTGCGCAGTCGAATTTAAGCTTACATTATAGACTGTAAACCTTAGGATCCAGTGGGGACCATCCAAGACCAGCCCTAAACCCAAACTCCATAACCCGAGGTCCTCGACTCTCCAACCCTAGAACCTGTAGATCCTACGGCCCGAAACCTAGCCCCACCAGGTGCCTAGGGTCATGTGCGGGTGGACGTTCGCGCACTTCGAATAGAAACTGCCCAGGTCTACCGGCGCGGCGCCGATCCGGCCCTCCTCTCCAGCAAAAAGAAACATGACAATCATCACCATTCGAGGTTGAGGTATTGTGGGTCTAGGAGTCTAGGCTTAGGGTGTTAGGAGGTTTGGGGTTTTCTTTGGGCGCAGTACGGTTGTTCAGCAGGGGCCTTGACTAACTCAACCCAAGCCCGCCCGTCTCTCTTTACCTTGCTGCAGCTAGTGGCTAGTGCTGCCAGGCAAAAAACCTTCCCTCCTGTTTGGGATGAGATGAACGCCTGGATTCTTAAGGCTTTCTTCATCTGGGACGAACTCTTAGAAGAGTTGTTGCTTTCTTGGAGCCGGTGGCAGAACAATGGAAACCCCTAACTCTAGGGCGCCCTTGGGCAAGCGTGAGAGCTAGCAAGTACCGAACCCTCAATAAGGTTATGTCAGTTATGACTTAAGTGACAAGCGAACAACAATGATCCTGTGCCCCATCCCAAACCTCGAATGTTGACATACTACCAAACCAAGTACCATAGTCAACTTGGGAGTATGCATTTTTACCACCGGTGGTACAGGGGATCCGGAAGAACAATACAAAAGATTAGTCAGCCTCGTCTTTTGTGAGACCTGATCCCAACAAAATGCCAGCCCTGTGTTTCTCATCCTCATTCTCCTTCTGGAGATCCCCATGAGAACCCTGCGAAATATCTTTAACAATCCTCACGTCAACGAAAGCGACTCACAAGTATGAAGCCTTCTGCCCGCACCTTCGGATTCCTTGGGATTCATTTGCGCGGCCCCCGGCTCCTCCCACACAAACTCTCCTGTCGTGACGGGAAGGCGCTCACCCTGTCGCCGGTGGAACTCCTGTACCGACACTGTACTGGGCCGTTAGTGTAGGAAATGCTGCACTGTTCCCTCTACATGAGTTAACGGTATGCCTGAAGTTGAAAGATGTTTCAGATCCTGATACAGCAGATCCTGATACAGCGTACCTCACATCTGCGGGGCAGGTAGACAACTTGATACAACCTAACAACCTAGGAAAATTGAGCACAATCACAAACGTTTCTGTCTGTGCCGCGTCTTACGCAGCAACTGTATTCGTAGTCTGATGAAGCATGGGGCATGAGTGGCTCTATCACCGGGTCACAACTAGAATGATCAAATCAGTAAGGGGAAAACTACCCTCGGAGGCGTAAGGAAGTCTTTGCGCCCCATGAGGCTTGCTACTGCTACTTTTGATAACAGGATTACCTGGACCCAAATATTTGGAAGAATCTATGATGAGTTTGGTGAATTATTTTGGCCAGGAATGCAACGGACTACAGCTCGGGGTCTGCGGTATTACTGTAGTCCCCTTAGACCTGTCATGAAAGCAATATCTTTAATACTCCCTTAGGGTTATGATATAAGAACCATTTAGGATAATTGCTCAGGAGATTAAAATACAGAGTGGGAAGAGGAGCAAGAGAGGTAGACCGCTCATCGAAGAACATGTCGGGCACACTTCGGTCTCAGAAATTTCGGGCAGCTTCCCAAGAAGTCTGAATGCCGTCAGGCACAACACGTGACCCAAACCCAAAAACCTGGAACAAGGTGCCTGGGAACAGGAATAGGGTTGGCTGTCTAGATTGCAGTTGCTTCTCGTAGGAATACTAAACTTTCGAAACTCATCTAGGCCCCTACTGTAGCCAGTGGGAGCACACTAAATACTCCTTGAAGAGGAGATGCCTAAAATTGCACAGGCAAAGCCTCCATGCAACAGCAATCCTAACCTCGGCTGAACTCGAGAACTCCCTACAGACTTTAAAAGGTGTATAGTCCCCCTTAAGTAGATAGAATATAGGGTTTAGGATTTAGGGCCCCCCTTAAGTAGATAGAACATGGGGTACGTTACGGGGATCTTTTTATTATATACCCACAGCCATATTCTATCTACTTCAGGGGGACTTTGAAGATAACTTTGGCCTCAGTCAAACTTGAAGCACTTCCGCGGCCTCGCGCAGCGCGTGGATGTCTGTACCAGCGAGCCTGTGCAAGGGCGCTCCACCCCTGAACCCCTCTAAGCTTTGGACGGGCTACCTGGGGGATGTACGCGGGCTAGGGTCCCTACCCTCCCAAAACTCACATGCAGCACAATAAATTTAGCTCCCTTTTAGAAAGGCGGTAGCCTTTCTAGGGCTGCTTCAGAGTTTCATGTAAGTGCAAGCACAAGAGGGTTTTTGAGAAACGCCAGAAATGCATCAAAGCAAAAAACTACTGCCGAGTCAGTGATTCCCCGGCCCATATAAGTACCTTCCTAAAGGAGCCCGAACAAATTTTTGTCTGGTACCATACAGGAGATGGCGCCAGATACAAGTGGAGTACTCTTGCTGGCCCTTCAGGCGTGTGCATTGGCTCATTGCACTGTGCGAGGGCAGGGAGCAACGGGAAAATGGGGTGCTCCAGGATGATATGTGGGTTTAGGGGGTAGGATTTGAGAAGATCATAGGGATCCGTCCCAAGGATCTTGAAAAATTCTCGCATGCTCAAAAAGAGTCTCAGCTCTATCCTGAACAAGCACTGAGAGGCTCTCAGAGCACAGAGAAGCCCTCCTGGCACACCGTCAGCTAATCATAGGTATCGCTAAATAACCTTATGGGGGAACATGAATTATTGGGGAACCTTAGGGGGGAGTAGAAGTGGGGGGTAGTATCATGGGTTCCCCTGCTACCCCCCTTACCCTGGCTGGTTCCCCTTAATTATCCTCAAGTAGCCCATTGAGGGGCTAGAGGGGGGGGTAATTAGCAGGGGAGCCCATGAGATAAACGTGCTTAGGTCTAAACCCTCAAGCCTCAGCACCAAGCCCTAGAAGCCTAAATCCCAAGCCAAAATCCCTAAAAAGCAAAGGCCTGAACCCGAAGCCCTAAACCTTGAACCCGAAAATGTGTGCGTTAGCCTCGGGGGATTCAGACGAAGGGAGGTCCAGTTACAGTTCAGGGTTTGGGGTGTAGTTCAGGGTTGAGGGCAGAGGCTTTCGGGGGTAAGGCATACTTAAGCGCCAGAGCTTAGGATTGAAGGCTTAGGGTTAAAGATAAGGACCTGACACTTTCCAGTTTGGTAGGGGTTGGAGGTCAACCTTGCACTTCACAGCGACGCCTGCCACTAGCTTGTGAACCTGGACGCCCACATCCTGAAAGCCTTGATAGAAGCTTGACTCTTGGGTCCCAATTGCAACACGGCCCCGAATATTTGGTGTTCTTTGATCCTGAATCCCAATCCGTGAACCTTAAGATGGGTGTTTGCCGAGGTACGGGTACCAAGTCAACATGATCATATCCTACATATCGCTTGGGCATGCACAAGGTGTCGAATATTCTTCCACCATTTGGGTATTTCTCACAACAGAGGACGATCGGGACCCTGGGAAGTATGATAATGCTAAGGGTTTATTGAAGTCCGTCTGAAGGGTTATGTAAGGACTCCTTTGAGAAACCCCCCTCAACATTAATGAAGTCCAGCAGCTTCGGATTCCTTGCAGCAAGTTCCTCGTCGGAGGCCCCGCCGATGAAAAGCAGCGTCACATGATACTCGTCCTTCCTGGGCTGTGGGGGTTAGGAGTCTGAGGCTTTAGGGCCGGGGCTGAGGGTTGGCGCTTGTTTCAGGTTTAGGGCATCTTGGCTCCGGTCAGCATCATGCGTGACGAGCGTCCTTGAGAGCGAGAAGCAGAGACTACTTCCCTGCGTAGCGGTGCCATATGAGGTCCATGTTTGCTTGCAGAGGTTGACATAAACCTACACCCACAGCATGCTAAACCCCCAAATGGCCATGTTTTAAGGCCTGCTCTCAATCCGTGCCACCATCCTCCCACGAAACTTCGCTCATGAACAAGGTAAGCAATTCTGTTGAGGGCACAGGTTTCGGGTTAAGACATAGGACTGAGAAAACACCTTCTCAACCCCCGGGAGGACACAGCTGTGCCTATGGAAGCAGAACATGCAACAGCAGAAGCAGCAACAACACTAACTGTAGTGAGAACAGTGCAAAGGGCAAGATACTAGCAGCAAGAAGGCAAATACTAGCACGCGCACCCACACACACATGCGTCGTCGCACAAGAGCATGTTCCTTGCTGTGGCCTCGCTGGAAAACACAAAAGCCTACTTTCAATGTGCACCTCGCAAACCCTGCACTGCAAAACCTGTAAGATGATACAAGCGTGAGAGTGGTCAATACATTTCCTGAGCCCAACCACACCCAATGTCAAACCGACTGCTGAATACTTGAGGAATCTTGAGGAACTACTTGAAAGGACAGCGGCATGACGAGGCCAGACGTCTTTGCCTCCTCCAGAGAACCCAGAACAAATCATGAACGAATCCTTGATCAGTTTTGTTCGAAACCAGGCAAGTTCAATGAATTCGCAGGAAAGGGCGGTCTGCAGTCTGCAGAACATGTCATCTGGCAAGAGGCCGTGCCACAGGGAGAAATGGGAGGATGCAGCATGTGCTGGGAGGCGCTGGCATTCTCAGCGACTACACACACGCAGGACATTTTAGGCCTGCACGTGCTCTTCGGACGCCAACTCACCCCCTACGCGTCCTGTATAAATCCTTCACCCGTCTCCTGGGTGGCTCTTAAGGAACTTAAATTAAGTTACTATATTGGGGAAACCCTATTCATGTACTATATACCATTATGGTAACTTAATTTAAGTTCCTTAACAGCAACCCAGTTTTGTTTTGCGACTTGGGTTGATGTTCGGTGGGTTTCGGGCTATACCACATGGTTCGCACACCACAACTGGAGAAAACTTGAGCCTGGTTGCAATGTTGTTTGCCATGCTTGGTCTAGGGTTTACGGGTTTAGGGGTTGGGGGTTTTGGGTTTGGGGTTAAGGGTCGGGGGTGTAGGGCTTAGGTAGTCCATATGCCATTTCAGTATGGCTAGATCCGCACAAAGCTCCATGGAAGGATATGCCCAGACCACACTTCCTGTATGTGGAACGTGCCTTTTGGGTTTGGGGTTTGCCGATTTTAGGTGGGAGAGAGAGAGAGAGAGACAGAGAGAGAGAGAGAGACAGAGACAGACAGAGAGAGCGAGAGAGAGAGAGGAGAGAGAGGCAGAGAGAGAGCCGAGAGCGAGAGAGAGGGAGAGAGAAGGAGACAAAGAAAGAGAGCGAATGTGTGTGGGTGTGCATGTGCGCGCGTGTTCGTGGTGGGGGTGCATTCGTGCACGTGGGCACACGTGTACGTGTGAGTTAGGGAGTGCAGGAGCGACGGCCTGAGTGAGGGAATGAGTGTGCAAGGGAATGTGCGAGCAAGTGAGTGAATGAGTGAAGGAGTCAGCGAGAAAGCCGAGTTGGAAACCCCAACCCAACCCCACCTCACCTTCCTAACAAAGTGGTGCATGAGACACCCAAAGTTGGCGCCGAATTTGCAAGGGAGATGCACACTGGCACAGGCATCACAGAAACCGCGGAAACACGTCAAACCACGTGGCATGCATTTCTGAGGCCAGTTCTTGGCTGCATTTCTGCGCCACTTTCTTTGCGCCAGCTGCATCGATGAGCCATCTTTAGTTGGTTGCCTTTCTGCGCTCAAACCTCATCCCGAACCCCTGAAATTCTCAACCCATAGGGTGATGAACGCCACTGCCTGAAACCCTGGAGACTGGCCCCGTCCTGATAGTCGGGCACGGACTCCCAGAGGCTCGCCAGCACTGCAGAGGAATTGGCGTCCAGCTCCAGCGCCCAATAGTAAACCTCATCCGCGAGCAGCTTTCCCTGACCTGGGATTTTGTCTCTAGAGGAGTTCTAGCTAAATTAAAAAACCTTGGGGTCCGTATGAAGGTGGTGTCCTTCTGAAGGAGTCTTTAAAAGTAATTTGGATCGCCTCCGATAGCTTGTAGCGCTGACGGCTCAAGCTCTACCACCTTTTTAAGGTGATACCTTCTATTTTGGGGTGCACACCCCTGAATTCAGGGTTCCTGGGGTCTAGGAAGTTCGCGCCCTGGCGAAATAGGAAGAAAACCCTCATCCCTCAGAAAAGGCTCTGCGTTTTGTAGGGCTTTGGGGCTTTAAAGCTCCCACATTTGAGTCCTACCTGGGTTCGCATGATACCCTCAGTGCCGAACGCATTAAAGCATCACTTCGAGCATCCCCACCCTGTCCAAAAGTTGACAGCCCATGTATCACTTTAGAAAATTATCACCGGTATGTCGTTCTAGAATTGAGTTGTGCGTGTCAGGGGCCTTCCTAATCAGATATTTCAATTTCAACCTTCATAACTTCTGACGTTTAGGACGCTGCTTTTTTGTGAGCGGACGCAGCGGATAGAACAAATACAAATCCGAAGGATCGAGTGCAGATCCAACTCGAAACACGCACATGTGGACTCTGTTGGCAAGCCCTTGGAATGCTTGTTTTCCTCGAAAGAATCAACAAGATGCCAATTGCGGATTCAAGCTTTCTTACAAAAACATGATTTCAACAAATCTGAAGTGTAGGAACGCTTTCCACAAAACCCGTTTGAAACATGGACACGTGGACTCTATCGGCAAACCCTCAGAATGCTTGTTTTTCATTCAGCAAAAAGAAACCAATTGTGATTTGAAGCTTTCCTTGCATTTCAAAGAGGCAGTATTCTTATATGCTGTCATTCCTTCCGATGGAAAGCAGTAGCGCTTTCAGTCAAAAAAGCTGGTTCCCACCGGTTGCAGAAACCGTCAATTGGTCCCCGCCAAAGTTGGCAGGAACTAGCTTTCGTATGATCACTAGCAAATGCCCTTTGGAGCGCAGTTTCATTGAGGAGTTGAGAAAATTACGTGGAGCCGAATATGTTGTCTATTTCAAATTTGGTGGAGTGGTGTGCCCGACACCAAAAATTATTGGCCTTCTGCGCATAAAACACACATCAAGATCCTGAGCCCTGGATCTTAATCGTAATTCAAAGCATTCCGAACATGAAGCCCACGATTGTTTCGGTGCACTCGGATTGGACTGCCACTGGCCGCTGTTCGGTGCCCTCTTATCTGTCTTACTCTCTGTGCTCCTTCCTGTTCTTCGATGTGTTCTCTTTACATCTCTTTACTGGCTGGCGCCTACTGACGGGTGGTTCTCGCAGCCTTGCTATCTCGGGATAAACCTCGGGACAAACCTCATGACTCGCGTTCCTCGCGGGCATCTGTCCGTAAATTAATCTAACAACCCCACTGACGGTGGCGGAATGAACACAAACATAGCACATCAGCTTTGACAGCATACGCAGCAAGCAGAGTCAAAAACATTTTAATTAAATCAGAAAACCATGGTCAACTTATAGTAAAAAACATTATTTGTATATGTTTGCAAGCTTACCTCATGCGCCTTACACTCTTACTAAAGAGCATTAAGGAAGTTAGCTAACCTTTTCATGCCCGCGGTGTCCTTAGCGTTAGACAAGTTTGTTACCTTTTTCGCGCCCGGGGCATCCTTGCCATTTAACTTGAACATTGGCAAACAACAAGAAGATTGTTAACTTTTTCGCACCCGAAGTATTCTTGGCAGAAGCAGACATAAGAAGGAAAAAACTAGTTGAAACAGACGACATATTTGTTTACCTTTACTTGCCTGAGGTATCCTTGGCAAAAGCAGAGATATGCCTAAAACAAATCCAATAAAAGATTCAGCTACTAGCGAAAAGGATGCTTGTGAAGAATGCATTCAAAACTGGGTCACCAATCAATACTGAACATGATAGCAGCGGTGGTTGAATACTACAAAAACCAAGTGCAAATAAGTTCAGCAAAACGACTGAGTCCACCTCAATTACGACCGCGTGCTGTCACACCACAGAACAATCAAATCCAATTCAAACACCCTCCCATGCCTTCGCACAACAAAACAATCAAATGCAGCTCAATCACTCCGCCATGCTCTCGCACCACAAAACATTCAAATCCAGCTCAATCACTCCCCTATGCTTTCATACCACAAAACAACCACATCCAGCTCAATCAGTGCCCCATGCTCTCACACCACAAAACAATCAAATCCAACTNNACCCCCCCCCCCCCTCCCCCCGGATGCTTCCCCACAACAAAACAGTCAAATCTGGCGCTATCACTCCCCCATGTCTCGCGCCAAAACACAATCAAGTCCAGCTCAATCACTTCCCCATGCTCTCGCATCACAACACCATCAAATCCAACACAAAGCAATCAAACGCAGATTGGAAAGAGCGAGAAGTTTGTCAACCTGTTCGCACGCGCACCGCTATCCCCTGTAGAGTCAAAACACAGAAAATGAGGGCGTTTTCCATCCGTCTCGTTTTGAATTAGCATGATATATAATTAAAACGGGCCGCGCAGGACACAG